AAATGGTTTGTCGTCCGAAAGAGTGTGGTGGTCTCGGAGTTCTTGACATTCAAACCCAAAGTGATGCATTGCTCATGAAATATCTACATAAATTTTACAATCGTTGGGTCCTGCCATGGGTAGATTTGATTTGGTCCACCTACTATACTGACAAGATCCCTCATGCCTCAGACCCTTGCGGCTCCTTCTCATGGAAAGATATCCTGAAACTTACTCCAATTTATCGGGGCATCTCCAAGGTTTCGGTCCACTCGGGAGACACTGCACTCATGTGGAAGGACCTCTGGCTGGATGAAGTACTTGCAGAATCACACCCACGTGCATTTTCTTATGCCAGACTTGAAGATATCTCAGTCAGAGACTTCCTTGGGTGCACCAACCTCAATGAAACCTTTCATCTCCCACTCTCCATGCAAGCCCATGAGGAACTTCGCAACATCCAAGAAATCACAGCACATGTTGGCAACCAAGCAGTTACGGTTGAGAGAGACTTATGGGGCTACGCTTGGGGGTCCGACGTTTACACAGCCAAAAGATATTACACTTTCTACTTTCGAGACGTGACAGCTCACAAAACCTACAAATGGCTATGGAAATCTTCGGCCACAATGAAAATCAAAGTTTTTGGGTGGCTTCTTCTCTCTGACCATCTTAACACAAGAAATATGCTCAAGAGAAGACACCATAATATTGGAGATAACTGTGGTTGCATCTTATGCGGCGGCAATGATGAGAAAACTCTTGAACACATGATTTTTCACTGCCAATTCAGTGCGACCTGTTGGGACACTTTGAACATACACTGGGCCTCGCATGGAAACCGATTGCTTTGGATCCAGGAAGCCAAATCTACATGGAACAACCCCATGTTTATGGAAATATTTCTTTATGCTTCTTGGAGCTTGTGGAAGGAGAGAAATAATAAACATTTCAGAGGTATTGATCCCACTATCAGTTCATGGGCAAGAAGATTTAAAGATGACTTCTCTCTCCTTATACATAGAGCTAAGGAGAAATATAGGGGGTTTATTCCATCTTTTCTAGAACACCTTGTTGTAAAGCCCTAGTCTTTGCTCTCTACCTTACTCCACCCCCTCCCCCCTTCTTTTTTTGTTTTGTTTTCTTTCATGGCCATGGATGTAAGGTTATGACTCTATAAGACCTTTTTGATACATTAATATATACAATAGGAGCCTCTCCTACTGTTTCGGGTGTCAAAAAAACATTGGCAAATCCTTCATCATCCTCTTCCTTGTCCTCATCCTTGTCATATTCCTTCTCCTTCTCACTGGGTTGCTTTTCTCGGAACTGCTGTATAAGGACTCGACACTGTCGAGTGGTATGTTTGTGATAAATCAGATTACCCTCTCCATCTTTCTTGATGTGAATGTGACATGGCAGATCCAACACGTCGTTCCCTGCTGAATCCTTCACTTTCTTGGGGTCTAGGGCCCTTTAGGCTTTCCTTTAGATTTTCCTTGGGTTGCAACTGCAACCTCTCCAGGACCCGTAGGTTCTGCTTTGTGCTTCTGCTTTCGATTGGAATTACCTCCTCTAGTGTCCTGGCCGACTGGTTTGCTCTTGCCGCTGCGGAATCGGTCTTCTTCCTCGCCGTTTGCGTACCGAGTGGCTATCTCCATCATTCGGGTCAGGGACATGTCTCCCGTCCGACCGAATTTCAGGTTGAGCTCCAGATACCGAACGCCCTCCTTGAAGGCGCAAACTGCTTGATGCTGAGACACATTCTTCATAGTGTGATCCAAAGTGGTCCACCTCTGGATGTAATCCCTCAAAGTTTCATTCAGTTTTTGCACGCAATGTTGCAATTCTGTCAATCATGCTGGTCGTTTGCACGTGCCCTCAAACATTCTGACGAACACTCGGGCCAACTCCTCCCAGCTGAATATACTGCCTGGAGCCAACTGATTCAACCAAGCTCTAGCTGACCCTTCAAACATCAGGGGAAGGTGCTTCATGGCCACTTCATCGTTTCCTCCACCGATCTGCACAGCCACTCGGTAGTACTCAAGCCAGGTGTCAGGCTTCGATTCACTAGTGAACTTACTGACCCCAGTTGCCAACCTGAAGTTGGTATGGATCTCTATAGCCCTGATGGCTCTGCTAAAACACTCGGGACCAGAAACATGCACTCTGCTTCCAGTCGGGCGATCTTTGTCTTGCCCTTCTCTGTGTGCTCGATTCCTGTCCACCAAACCTTGCACCAAAATTGACCTTGCATCAAACCCTGGTTCTCTTGGGTCGACTGGCCTCCTCCGCTCTTCGTTGTACGCGCGCCTATCATCATAATGCCGGGGCACATATGATTCGCCCCTCGGAGGGGGCGTAGGCACTCGACGGCGGTCATCACGGTCGAGCTGATGATCGTGCTGCTCGTGGTTCCAACCCAAGTACTGCCCTTGGCGATGCCCTTATCCCTCACGCCGCGGAGGCAATCTTGGGTTGTGAGCCTACTGAACTGTGTCAGCTACTACAGATCTGCTATGAATTCTGTTACGCGACTGAGACATTGCAGTGTTCTACTCTCCTGCTGCTCGGAGTAGCGCTCTGATCTGCATCAAACCTCTACCAACTTCCGACTGGGACGGCTGAATGGATTCTGCTATGCGGGATGCGGCTGTAAGGTTTTGAATCGGAGTGTGGTATACCTGCGGTTCAGGCGGGAACAACTGCCGCTGCCGTCGACTGAATTTGGGGATCTGCCGCCGAGCGCGATTGTCGAGTGTAAGCTGAAAGTTCTCCAGTCGAGTGCGCTCAGCCAGAGTGGCCAAACACGCCGCCTCCATGGCCCGAGCTTTAGAGGTCTCTCCAACAACAGGTGTGTGGAGCGCCTCCATATTGCGGCGGTGAAGTTCTTCCCTTTGCTGAGAAGAGAGGGTTTCGGGGTGGTACTCCTCGTGAACACGCGACGGATCGCCGCCGCCGTCGTCGTCGCCGTTGCGACACATGCCAGGCGGGCTGCGTGGCGTGTCGACCATCAGGACCTCTGCTGCGGGGTCGCTACTGTCGCACTCGGATAAGGTCTCGACGGAGCCAGTCGACAGATCGAACAGGCCTAGAGAGATTCGTCGGGCTCGATTGTCGTGACTTGAGGGGTGGCCGACTGACGTGCCACCGCATGCTTCACCCACCGCTGAAGTCGTGACCGACCAGACTGCTTGTGACGGCGAACATCGGGGAGCGAAGACACCGCAGGAGCCGACCGATACTGGGTCGACGACTGCTGCAAAAGGACGTCACGAACACACACACGAAAGTGCGTCGCCCCACGGACGGGGAGTGCCTCGACATCGAGGGGAGCTTCCTGAAGCCAAGCGGAGTCGTCGGCGATGAAAACAAGCGCGCCGAGACGGATCTCGCGGCCCTTAGTCAAACCTCCGCCGGAAACCATGATGAAAGGACTCGGAGAAATCACAACCTCACCGGAAAGTCGCTAAGACACCTGTCGCACGGTGGGCGCCAACTGTCGTGGTTCTAAGTCTGACAGTAGAATGGGGGGTAGGTATGAGGAGGCAAGATCCTAGCTACGGTGAAGTTATGCACGCTAGATTTACGAGTCCAGGCCCTTCTCAGAGGAAGTAACAGCCCTACGTCTCGGTGCCCGGAGGCTTGGTCGATTGGATTATGGTGAAGTTACAGGGGTGCGAACCCTTGTCCCAGAGGAGGGGGTGGCTTATAGAGAGTGCGCCAGGAACCCAGCCATCCCCCGTTACACAGGGTTCAATATACATAAAGAGAGGACGTTACTGGTAACGCCAACATTAAAGTGATATAAATGACCCTTAAGTCTAAGAAGTGAATGTCCGACCGTTGCGATCCAAAGTGACCTTAGATCTTCTGTACTCCGAGTGGTTCCTGGTGTGGTCGAATGATTATATCCTAGTCCAATGGAATTGGGTTATTCGAGTGGGTTGCGTCTTGAGGTCGAATGATTATATCCTGGTCGAATGGAATTGGGTTATCCGAGTGGGTTGCATCTTGAGCTGATTCCAATTGGTAGAATTTGATGTCCTTTGAATGTCTTTGACTATAGGGCAGTGTCCTTGGGAAGGGTACTTAGATCGGGTCTATTGCCCTACCCTAGATACATGTCATCGTCATCCGCCACTCCGCCACACCTAACTGTTGAACATGTCGCCTTTTAGTCGGCCAACACTCAGCGCCATACAACATTGCATTCCAGTCGGTAGAATTTGCTATCCTTCGAATCTCTTTGACTATAATGCAGTGTCCTTAGGAAGGGTACTTAGATCGGGTCTATTGCCCTACCCTAGATACATGTCATCGTCATCCGCCACTCCACCACACTTAACTGTTGAACATGTCGCCTTTTAGTTGGCCAACACTCAGCGCCGTACAATATTGTGGGTCGAATCGCCATCTTGTAGAACTTGCCTTTTAGCTTTTGTGGCACTCTTGTCATAGAGAATGCCAGAAACTTGGCGCCACTTCATCCATCCAGCTTTGATTCAATGGTTCACATCTTCATCAATACCCCCATCCTCCTGCAGCATTGACCCCAAATACCGAAAGATGTCCTTCTAGAGTACCACCTGGCCATCAAGGCTAACCTCCTCCTCCTCCTCACACCTAGTAGTACTAAAACCGCACATCATGTACTCGGTTTTAGTTATACTAAGCCTAAACCGCACATACAGGAATCACATGGACAATTTCAGCACATACAGGAATCAATGGAAAATTTCACCACATACAGGAACATATCATTGACACTGCAGTGGCCACCCATTACGCCTTTTAATCCCCTGGGGCTCTATAACATTTTATTACAGAATCATAGGTCCCCAAGTTAGTAAGCTTATATACTTTACATCCACCCGTGTTTGAACAGTCTGTCTTGAATTTAATGTATGGTTGCGACACAACCAGGAACATAAGTTGCAGAGAAAAAGGGCGGCACGGGCGGCATGCCAACGTACATCTAGAGCATAATATTTACATCAGTAATGCACACCACAGGTTTAAGGGATTGAGCTGAATACACGATGAGCAGAGATGATGGAGCTCAGACCAAGAGCAATGAAAGCTAAGAACGCCATTGAGCCTGAGGCATTGATAAGTTTGGCAAATTGATCCACGCCAAATCTTGACACCCACACATCATTGCGAGAAAGCGCTGCTGAAGATGCTGACAGCAGCAGGTAAGCCAATACCTGCAATATTGGCACGAGTAATTCAATCACACCCGGTCACTTGCTTGCAGTTATATTTGTTAATTATAATCTAATGTTGCACCTTCAAATTTGTGCATAAAGTCATAACCGAATGTTAAGAGATGTGACTAAACACAGAAATTTAGGAACAACTGCAACAAATATCGTGAAACAAAGTCTAGAACTCTAAATTATATGACGGTAGGTTAGAGATGAAGCCCAACAGAAACCTGCGAGGACCCAAAAGAGGAGAGGAAGTAAAAGTAAACAAAGTAAGGGCATCTCTAGCCGATCCTCAAAAAGGGTTAACTCCTCAAAATATTCTCTTTCGAGGAGTTAACCGAGTTAAGTTCCAAAACCTTGCCAGCTCTCTCATTTTTAAGCGACCACAGCCAATTCTCAGCAAAAATTTCCATCCCGCCCGCGGCGCCTCCTCTTTCCACCACCGGAAGCCCTGATTCCGATGGGAATGGAACCGCAGGCCTCCTCCGCATACCCCGTCGGTGCTACGCCGCCTGAGCCGACCCGCGCGCTGCCACCCACATCAATGAAGCGGCTCGGCACGAAGACCGCGGCGGCAAGGCCACGCCGGCCGCGACGATGGCGGGTTGCTTCGGTCGATGGCAAGAAGGTGAGGAAGCAGACGGCGGCCGGAAGGCCCTCACCGAGGCGGCGACGAAGAAAAGGAAGAAGGTGTCCACGCCGACGCCTTCTCCCTGTCCGGTGACTCACTGCCCTTCTCTGGCCACCCCTCCTCCGGCACGTTCAGCCATCGCAGCCGCAGCCAAGGTCCATGGCCACCAAGTGTTTGACGAAATGTCCAAGAGGTAAAAAAAATGTGCTTTTCTTTTTCGCGGGGGATATTGCTAATGCTTTGCAGCGCCGATCTTGTGACGTGCTTGTTGTTGCTGATTGTAGTGTGGAGGAGCATGATGTTGCAACTTTCATGTCCCAATTGGATGCATCACACATACTCGGCCTCCACGATCTATATTATGATGGTGCGAGTTATGATCAAGAACACAAGAGCAAGGAGGAGGATGATCCCGAAGTGGAGGAGGTCGATGATCCCATGGAGACACAATCAAGCACCAAGACAATAAAGTACAGCCAAGAAAAGGACATTGCTTTGTGCTTTGCTTGGATGAATGTTTCCCTTGATGCCTCGGTTGGTACGGATCAAACGAAAGAGAAGTTTTGGGGTAGGATTGGAGACTACTATTGCAACAATGTGACCGTCCATTCCCTCCGCACTCAAGGCTCACTTTCCCACCGGTGCAGTGTGATCCAAGAGCAACACGAGCGATGGTCCGGTTGTGTTGATCAAGTCAACCATGCACCAACGAGTGGGGTGCCAATCACAGACTATGGGCCTCTCATCCAAGAGCTATACAAACAACGCAACAAAAAAGGTGGCAGCAAGGCATTTACATTGAACCATTGCTACAAGGAATTGGTTGGCAATGAGAAGTGGATCCGGAGGAACTTCGAAACCACACCGAAGAGGTCCCAGATTAGCATATCCGTTGAAGCCAATGACGAGGAGGATGAAAATCCTCAAAAAAGGACTGATGGACAAAAGATTGCAAGAGAGGAAAAAGAATGGAGGCGTCGACGCCTACAAAGAGGAGCTTTGTGATACGATTGAGACCAAGAAAGTTTTGGCGGCCGAACACAAAGCAGAAAAGGCAGCGAGGTGGAACAAGCTCAAGTTCATGGAGGATGAGAAATGGTGAGCAAAGTTGGCGGCCGAAGCAAGGAAGGTGGGAGCGGAGGTGCGTAGGATTGCACTCGAGGATGAGAGGCTTGCAAAAGAAAAGAAAGCCAAAGTCGAGGATGAGAGGCTTGCAAAAGAAAAGAAAGCCAAAGAGCATGCTATCATGTTCATGAATCCGAGCATGATGGATGTAACGGCAATGAAGTATTGGGAACTCACTCTGGGGAGATCTTGGTCCAGTCGGAGGTCGACCGTGGTGGTGATGGTGGTGGACATGGTGTTGATGGTGGCACCCGTGGTGGTGATGAGCACAGAAATGCTTGAGTTCATGTAGTATGCATTTGATAGGGCTTGGTCCACGACATGCTTGTGTTTTTTTGGATCAAACTTGATCAATTTGGTGGCTTTTGGATGAAGTATATGCATGTTTTAATTAGAATTGTTTCAATTGGACAAACTACATGTATGTACTTGAATAGTTGCATATGGTGAATTTGAAACATTCAAATGATTGATGACATACCGTGCAATTGTTTGAAATGTATGTGGCAAGGGATGGAAGAATTAGTCCAAAAAAATTAGGGAGTTAAATATAGGGGTTCGGTTAGGTTCGGCCACTATTTTAACTCCTCATGTTTGAGGAGTTATGGTTAGGGGGGGCATTTGCGGAGTTATAGGATAGGGGTTCGGCTAGAGGTGCCCTAAAGCAAAGTAAATTAAGGTTCTAGCACTACTGTGAACAAAAACAAATGAAAAAACTTGCTGAACCAGGGACTAGCCCCCCTTGCCTTTTTTCAAGGAGTTGAAGTGTGAAAACCACCCCATGACACGGGTAGGCATGAATCTTTCTCACTTCACAGATAACATTAGTAACAACTTGATTATCAAAGGCATTGTCGTCTCAACAACTACATCATTTTCACTAACAATTTTTCAAGAGGTTCTCCTACAATGACAATTCACAATTGATTGAAATTGGAAGACTTACAGATCAACTGTCATCAATAAAGCTTTAAGGCATCAGTGCACAAATTTTAGATAAATGAATGGTCGCTATATTATACAGCTTGTTTTACTTTGTAATTTAGTTTTGGCAAAATCAGCTTCCAAATTATGAGGCCCCTAAACTTGCAACATTGTGCTACGGTTCATTATGCTACTGTATACTAAACAAACAAGCAAATAGACCTCACAAATACCATGAAACTAAGTATAATACATTCAGATGTGGAGTTTGTTCATTCTTGCCTGATCCATGGCGAGATTGAAGTAGTTCCCCCAGGGGCCTCCAATTATGCGCCTCCCTGTGACAAGGTAGTGCACTTCTGCAACTAATTGGAACCCCGAGTATGTAAAAGCCATCACGCTCGCAGCAAGCGTGTACCTGCATTTCACAGACACATCAATCTACGCCAAGAACAAGCGTAACAAATGTTGTACCTAAAATTGGGTGATTTTGAGCTTGTGTTCCAGATTCAGAGCAACCTGTATTCGTTGTAGCGGCGGAAGGAGTCACCAGCCCAGCCCGGCGTAGTGCCAGACGACATGACGGAGACCGAGATCAAGCAGAACACGGCAGCTGAAACCCTAAACCCTAGCTCAGCCCTCTTCAGCTCCGTGAGCCGTACTCTATCTGGGACCCCTCTAAGGAGCCATCTCTTGGAGCCCACTCCGACTTTGCCTCCGCCTCCACCTCCGCCCCCGCCGCCGCCGGCGACTGACTCGGTGACTACCGCAGGTGCTACCTTGTCGGCGGCCGGCTTGGCCTCCGTTGCCGCGGGGTCCTCGGCCGAGAGGAGCTTCGCTACGGTCAGGGCCGACTCCTTCTGCGGAGATCCGGTCGGGGATTCAGCCATGACCGCGTCCTTCTGCGGCGTCGGCGGCATCACTGCTTCGTTTTGGGTTAGCGCAAGGGCTAGCGCCATGTTCTCCGATCCGCCGGGCGCTTCATCTGCCTCCTGCACCGGCTTAGCTTCCGGAGACGCCGGTGCTGGTGGAGGTGGTGCTGCTGGAGCGGGAGCGCGAGCGGGAGGAGGCGGGGGTGTCCGCCGCGGCGCGGATGTTTGGTTCCCACGAGGGAGGGGAGCAGAAGGATCGGCGGTGGAAAGAGGTGGATGCGTTGGAGCCTTTGGAGGCGAGGGAGGACATGGTGGAGAGGAATCGCCGGCGCCATCCGGCGGCGGAGCAGTAATTGTTGGTGCAGCAGGAAGGGGAGGAGCTGGGGTTGGATTGTCCGGCGAGAGGCGAAAGGGGCCGGTAGATGGCGCCGGAGCAGTAGTTGTAGGTGCAGCGGGAAGGGGATGAGTTGGGGTTGGGTTATCCGGCGAGAGGCGAAAGGGGTCGGTAGCCGGAAGCTGTGATGGGGGCGAAGAAGGAGGAGGTGGTTGTGCCTCCGCGGCCGGCTCCGGTGGCGGTGAGCGGACTGGGGAGGCCATGGAGGAGCTGCTGGTTTTTTCCATGGTGGCGGCCGGCTCCTGGTGGCTGTGGGATGTGTGCCAGTGTGGTCTCGTGCTCCAATGGGAGTGTGGCGCAGGCGACTGAAGAGCGACTCAACACCAGGTTGAAGGGCACGAGCGGTCCAGGAATTCCGAAATTATTTTGATCAAGTAAAACGCATATGGTGCGAAGCTGACTGAGAATTCGCAAAATCGCAGTGTACGTACGGAAGCGGATGTTAACCCTATACAAACATTAAAATTTTAAAATACCAAGAAATTTGAAAAAAAAACTGAGATTCCGTGATAACAAACCTGGGTTTTCAATCTACTCGTGAAATTTCGTGAAAAGTTATCAGGAAACGTATTCGTGATGGAAAAAGACAAAATTTCCTAGGTATAAAAAATACTGTTTGGACAGATTTTTGTTCAGACAGTATTTTCTTCACCACGGATATGTTTTCTACTCCCTCTTTTCCTAAATATAAATCTTTAAAGAGATTCCACTATGGACCACATACGGAGCAAAATGAGTAAATCTATACTCTAAAATGCATCTAGATACATTCGTATATTGTCCACAGTGAAATCTTTACAAAAACTTACATTTAGGAACGGAGGGAGTAGTATTTTTACATGAAATTTTATACGGAAGTAGATTGAGAACTCAGGTTTGATATCCCTAAATTTCAGAATTTTTTTGATATTTTTTACATTTGATATTCGTATAGGGGTGCGGAGCACCCAGGAGCTCCTGTGTATTTTTGTATACAGACGCGCTAGATTAGCCGCGCACTGGAAAAAACAACTATATTGCTAGCCGGGACTGAAACTGACACTCCAGCAGCCACGCTAAAATCGCGCGCGAGGTAAATTTGGTCCAGAAAATGATATCGCACACTGTGTATTTGGTGTGCCCGCACGCGTGCTGGACAAGCCAATCGGAAGTGTGAATCTCACCAACCGTCGAATCTAAAACCTCCGATGGGAGTGTGGCCCAGGCGAGCTAAGAGCATCTCCAATAGTATGTGTATATTTGGATGTCTATATATTTATATAGACAATGGTCTAAAAAGATTCCCTCATATACACATCCAGTTTTGCATTAAGGAGAGGAAGAAATCATGACTGCAGCTGAGTTTAGACAACACCTTCACATTGTACAGGCATGGACATTGTCGAGGCCGATTTAAAGGATGTGTATATTTGGACGATCATATAGACAAGCTGTTGGACGCTTGTTTTGGCCTCACGTCATGAAAAACGAGTATGGATATCCATATAGACAAGCTATTGGAGATGCTCTAAGAGCAACTCAACAACAGGTTAAAGGACACGAGTGGTCCAGAAATTCCGAAATTATTTTGATCAAGTAAAACGCATATGGTGCGAAGCTAACTACGATCGCAAAATCACAGCCAAATTACATGTGCCATGAATTGTGTGATGTTTGAGTGGGAGACTAGTTAAAACAATTCTAGCAGACCCCGCATTCTGCCTGATTTGTAAAATAACTATCAAAGTGCGGGTTAGAACGAAAAAAACTGCCTGATCAGATCCCGTATTCCGCCCCGGCCCGCAAATATTTTTGCGGGGCGCGGCAAAATGTCTCCCCTAATCTCTAGTTTCACGGGCTGGAAGGCCGACCTGAGCTTAGCCCCTATCCGCGGCGAGATTTGGCGAGAGGGACATTTTCGCGCGCCCTTTCCCGCTCCCCCACCCTCCGCCACCATTGCCCCGCCTCCGCACGCTCCGGTGCTTCCTTCCTGGCCGTCCCTCGCCGCCATGGATGACTCCCTACTGTCCCCCGTCACGGTCGAGGTCGCGCACGCTCCTTCCCCTCAGGCGGATCTCGTCGCCGGCCATGTTGGCCCCGCCACCGCCGCCCAAGCTAACGTCGCGCCTGCCCGCAAGCGGCGGGGCAACGTGGCCGTGCAGGGCGGGAATCCGGCTGCCCCCGCCGCAAAGGCCCGCGCTCCGGGCGCCAACGCCACAACGCGATCCCGGTCGGCGACGGAGAAGGTCGGCAGGGTCACCGACGTAAAGCGGAGGAAGATTTCGGCTACAAAGAAGCCGCCTTGTTCATCCTCTCACTCCATCCCGGAAAGAGGTGCCTCGGCGATGCCGTTCAATGGTGTTGCTCCCCCCGCAAGCGAGGTGCTCGACGAAATGGCCGGAAGGTATGCGTCTTCGTTCATGGCGATTTCCTTTCATTTTTCGCCATTTTTTGCGATAGCTCGTGACTTGTTATCGTTCACTATAGTGGTGGTTCGAACAATGCAACTGCCGAGTTCGTGAACTTGTTGGACACCAACGTCGTTGACATTGATCAAGCCCCATTCGCTGCATTCGACTATAATGAAACGGAGGGCAGCGTGGACGATCATGGTTGTGAGGAAGAATTGGAGGAGATCGAAGCGGAAGCGTATGAGCAATCGCAAACAAGAACTGGGAAACGCCAAAGATCGAAGAACTACACGATCTTGAAAGATCAAGCTTGATCAAAGCATGAAGTGTGGTGTCTCTTGATGCATGCACGGGTACATCTCAAATCGCCAAGAGATATTGGCAAAGGATCGAAGATCAATACTTCCGCATTATGGCAAAGCATCCCAATAGGACTCCACGCACATTTCGGTCGCTTCAAGATAGGGATGAAAATGGAGTGGAAACTTTCCGTTTTTTCAGAGGAAAAATGGAAATGGAGAGAAAATATGAAAACGGAAACGGAAATTTGCAAAACGGAAGTGGAAATGGAATTTTTTATGCGGAAACGGAAACAAAAACGGAACGGTGTTTTCCGGTCGAACATGCATGGAAATGGAACTTTCCGTTTCCGTGAATATGGAATTTCTGTTTTTACTATAGACCTATAGTTGCTTTGTAGCCCAAGCACCAAAGATAACACAATGACACAATTAGTATAATGGATCTAAGGCCCAACTTCTACTACCACACATGTACTAAGCTTGACCTCATACGCAATTGTCTGGTACTACTACAATATTATGCTAAGTTGCTAACATAATGATATTATTTTGTAGCCATGTTAACAACTCATTAAATTTGTTTATTTTTGTGTTTATTTCTCTATGATTCAAGGGGTTTTTAAGTTCCGATCAATGCCTCTGTTTCCATATCCGCTTTGTATTCTCTCCGTGTCCGTTTCCGGTAGTATCTGTTTCCGTATTCATTTTCGGGGTTTCTGTATTCGTTTCCGCTTCTAGAAAAAAATGTGAAAACAAATATGATAGCACTCGGTTCTGTCTGTTTCCGCTCCGTTTTCATCACTACTTCAAGGGCGTTGGGAGAATATCAAGCCTATGTGCAGCCGTTGGGCAGCTTGCTTGGAGCAAGTATGCAATGCACCTCCAAGTGGAACCGTGGAATCCGACTATGTGAGCTTGTTTTGCCTTTGTTCAAGTTGTGCATCATCATATTTGCATCTGCTGGGGAACGCAGTAATTTCAAAATTTTCCTATGCACATGCAAGATCTATAATGGTGATGCATAGCAACTAGATGGGAAAAGTGTTGTCCACGTACCCTCGTAGACCGTAAGCGGAAGCGTTATGACAACGCGGTTGATGTAGTTGTACGTCTTCACGATCGACCGATCCTATTACCGAAAGTACGACACCTCCGCGATCTGCACACGTTCAGCTCGGTGACGTCCCACGAACTCACGATCCAGCAGAGTGTTGAGGGAGAGCTTCGTCAGCACGATGGCGTGATGACGGTGATGATGATGCTACCGGAACAGGGCTTCGCCTAAGCACCGCTACGATATGAACGAGGTGGATTATGGTGGAGGGGGGCACCGCACACGGCTAAGAGGTCAATGATCAACTTGTGTGTCTATAGGGTGCCCCCCTTCCCCGTATATAAAGGAGTGGAGGTGGGGAGGGAGGGCCCTCTACGGCGCGCCCTGGAGGAGTCCTACTCCCTCCGGGAGTAGGATTCCCCCTTCCCTAGTTGGACTAGGAGAGAAGGAAGGGGGAAGAGGGAGGAAGGAAAGGGGGGCTGATACGTCTCCAATGTATCTATAATTTTTGATTGCTCCATGTATATTATTTTATGTTTTGGACATTATTGGGCTTTATTATACACTTTTATATTATTTTTGGGACTAACCTATTAACCGGGGGCCCAACCCAGAATTGTTGTTTTTTTGTCTATTTTAGGGTTTCGAAGAAAAGGAATATCAAACGGAGTCCAAACGGAATGAAACCTTCGGGAACGTGATTTTTGGAACGAACAAGATCCAGGAGACTTGGACCCTACGTCAAGCAACCAACAGGGAGGCCACGATGTAGGGGGGCACGCCTACCCCCTAGGCACGCCCTCCACCCTCGTGGGGTCCCTGTTGCTCCACTGGCGTACTTCTTCCTCCTATATATACCTACGTACCCCCAAACGATCAAATATGGAGCCAAAACCCTAATTCCACCGCCGTAACTTTCTGTATCCACGAGATCCCATCTTGGGGCATGTTCCGGAGCTCCATCGGAGGGGGCATCGATCACGGAGGGCTTCTACATCAACACCATAGCCTCTCCGATGAAGTGTGAGTAGTTTACCTCAGACCTTCGGGTCCATAGTTATTAGCTAGATGGCTTCTTCTCTCATTTTGGATCTCAATACAAAGTTCTCCCCCTCTCTTGTGGAGATCTATTCGATGTAATCTTCTTTTGCGGTGTGTTCGTTGAGATCGATGAATTGTGGGTTTATGATCAAGTTTATCTATGAACAATATTTGAATCTTCTCTGAATTCTTTTATGTATGATTGGTTATCTTTGCAAGTCTCTTCGAATTATCAGTTTGGTTTGGCCTACTAGATTGATCTTTCTTGCAATAGGAGAAGTGTTTAGCTTTGGGTTCAATCTTGCGGTGTCCTTTCCCAGTGCCAGTAGGGGCAGCAAGGCACGTATTGTATTGTTGACATCGAGGATAACAAGATGGGGTTTTCATCATATTGAATGAGTTTATCCCTCTACATCATGTCATCTTGCTTAAGGCTTTAC